ACATATATATATATATGTATATAGACAAGCGCTGCATAGCAAAAACGCATAAAAACGAACACTCAATGAAAATTGTTCTTTTTCCGTTATGCAAAATTTATGATAGTTTACACTAATGAGTGTACGAGTCAAATACAAAGTAATAGACATTCATAGAGCTACGACCTGACTACTTTAAGTTTGGCGAAAAAACAAATAATTGCGCCAGTAAATCTCGTGCGTTCCGGCTTGGGTTTTTATTTCATTTTTTGCCTTATATTTAACACCCTTTAAATCGTAGTAAATTTAAATGCTTTTGTAACTATGATTTCTGTGCGTTATGCATCACTAATTTAGCACAGAACACAAAATTAAGTCAAAGCAACGCTAATGTTTTTTTTGCGCCTCTTTTTCCGAAATTTGAATGAATTTATGTTTTCCGATAATTTTTTTACAAGCTAAGGTTTGCACCAATAGCTTGACTGATAAGTGAAACCATGGAATGTGAAATTGAAAAAAGTTCGAGCTTGGTCGGGAAAGGCTCTAAAAATGTAATCCCCACTTGCTGCTCGTTAGTTTTTGGCTAGCCCCTACAAGCATTGGATCCTTCAGCTTGCTTATCTGGCTTGTATGTCACTGAGATCAGCCTGTAGGCAGCAATAAAAAGGATTAATCATCGTATCCCTCTTTCTGTACTGAACTTTTTTGGATGAACGCTGTACAGTTTTTGGATTGACAACTACTTTTGAAAGGAATAAAACTGTCGGAAAACATCTAATCCGGGAAAACGCCGTGTTTTCTCAGCTTGCCATCTCTGTTGCTATTCAACGGGGCATGAGTGATGGCGGATGAGCTGGCGGGACAGCTGAACTAAACTCACGATATGTGCGCATGGAGCCAGAATTACTTCAGAGAGATTTACATTCAGCACTTTTTAAACTACAGCAATAGCTCAAAAAAGCATTAGTGATTTATCGCTTCCTCACCGACACTCTGTTTAATAATGCTTCGTTTATTAAGCTGCAGCACCAATGTGCCTCGTCCTTGGACAACTCATCCAGGATTGGAACGAACTGCTCACGACGATTTCTATTAGTTCGTTCCAGTCGCAAGTTTACGTATCATCCTGTGGGCATAGTGAGCCGGCTTTTTTTCCCGCAAAAGTTTTGTTAGAAATTTATTTCCTTGATTGCGTCTAGCTTATCACCAAAACAAAAGCAAACTGTGATAACGACAAGTGGATGTCCGCTTTTACTATCACTAATCAGTACCAATTTTCCTCTCAGAAAATAGGACAGGTTTGCAGAAATAACATTTTTTTTAATGGGGTAACCAATATTGTCCCATCAAATCAGTAATGTTAATTTGGCTTAAATTTTAGAAAGTTGTGCTCATAATTTTCATTTCCATCCGATCGCACTCGGCTTCAGTTCACAGCTAAAGGATGAATTAAAACGTGTTTATGCGATTAGAGAAGAATACACCATCAAAAATTCCTTTCGCATGTCTTTGCTAATGTGTAATTATGCTTATTTTTGTATCACATTCGCGGCTCCTTCGCACTTTTCTTAAGTTGCGCTCCGGAATCATTTCTGCGCCTCAACCGTGAGTGCCTTTCGTATCCACACAGTCCCAGTGAGGAAAAAATGCCCCCCTTTCTCCACTGCATGTAACGTTATCGAAACTTTTTCAGGAGAAAACTTCAATTTGAAGTGATGATCTTGTTTGTAATGTAAGTCCATTAACTGCTTAGGTTTTTTTTTCTATACAGATTCAAATCTTATTACTTGATAAAGCTTGCTCATAAACGAACATTTTTTTACGCTGGATTAACAACTTGCAGTGATATTATCTTGCAGATTATCATCCCTGCTTTATACGATTGCAGTTACGAAGGAATTAGAAAAGGTGCATGAATCAAATTTTCATTCACTCAAATTATATGCGCTTTTTTTCTTCAAGTTCTGGTTGGTTTTTACCAACAGACAGAAAGTTAAAACCATCCTCACTGACCTGTTTCTCAGCATTCCTCGAAAATGGACTTGTCATCCTATCAGTTGACGGTTGCTGTTGTTAATGTTCTAACGCTCAGGATATTTTCTAATATCTTTACCTCTCATATAAGAGAAATACAGATTTTAGCAACAAGTTCAGTCGTATTCGTTCCCGAAAATTGCTAATCTTTCATTTCGTCTATAAGTATTTGCTTTCTCTCATTTTCATATGGGAGAGCTTTGGCATAACAAGAAATTTGGGAGATGGGGAAGAAACGACGGATCCTAGGTTGAAAAAAGGATCTCAGAAAATGTAATAAACTCAGAAAAGACACGAAATTCAGATCCAATGAAGCAAATTTAAACAGGTGTGGCGAAAATAATGACCAATAAAAAAATCCAACTACAGCAACCTGAACTTTGTACAGTCAAGAACAAAACAAGGTCGCTTCATTTAAATGAGCTACCATCCTGATCTTAAAGCCACTACCACCTTGATCTGCCGATGGGTGATGAGCTACCACCTCATTTTTTTAAACTTCCAATTTTTATTATTCCAGGACGAAGAGCCAGGTGCACGGAAGGCACGAGTAAAGCGACAAAGCCACCCGCAATCGTGGGAGCAACAGAAGAACACTTTTCAGTGGCCTGGCAGTCAACCACCGTCATGGAACGCCGGTGGCAACCAGCATCCACCATGGGGCAACAATCAGCCCTGGGCTGCCGGTGGCAACAACCAACAACAACCATGGAGCGGAGGTGGTATCCAGCAACAACCATGGACTACCGGTAGCGGCCCCAATCAACCATACGGTACAAACCAACAAACTTGGTACGGCGTCACTCAACCACCATGGGCACAGAATAACAGATGGAACCCCGGATTCGGTTGGTCTCCAACCGGTCCTCAAAGCGGTAACACCTGGGGATATGGCTACAACGGATGGCAGCCCTGGAGTGGTGGCAACGGCTGGGGCAATTGTCCTTGCTCTCCTCCCTATTGGTACCCTGGACCTCCTAACAACGGACCACCAAATTTCGGTGGTCCTACCGGCCCCAATCCTAATGCGGGCCCTCAACAGCAGAAACCCAATCCTAATCAACCGAGTGGGCCGCCCGGTCCCGGCCCCAATCAAGGTCCGCACAATCCTCAACAACCACAACCTGCAGGTGCCCAGGGCCCACGCCAGTGAGAAATAAAAAATGTGAGCATCAACGAGTTCCCCAAAGAAATACTATTTGTTCCGCAAAGAATTCCTATTTGAACATGCTTTGTTGTCATATTATTCATAAATAATCCTAAATTATGAGCCAAGCATCTCTGTCATCTTTTTTCCCCCAAATACAGGACCCAATTTATAGCACCTATCACCTATTGCGCAATCTTTCAGTTCTTTCAAAAAGATGCCATTGGCTCCAACTAAATTAAGCTCATATTCGTTCTACTTCATACTTTACAAGATTATGAGACTGGAAACCTGCTGAATGTTTTAATGAGAAAGTAAAAAGCAAAACTGCAGGAGTAACAGTAAAGTTGGAACTTCGATGTGATCGTACGCACTTCGCAAGCGTACGCGAGAGCTGAATTTGAAATCTTTAGCTCGCACATGCACAGAGAATATTTCTGCAAAGTTTCAGCTTTGCACCTTGCCTGGTAAGCAAAATCGTTACAATAATTATGACGGTAGTAAGGGGAGAAAACACAAGTGAAAGTGAAAGAAAAATTGGAAGAATTGTGTAGAAACTGGCGATTTTTTGTTTCGTTTTGGTTTCAAAGTATAAAAGGAAAACAAAACAAGCTTTATTATTAATAAACCATTACGATGTGTCGTTGAATTAGCAGTAAATAATTGCTGTATATTACGATAAATTGTTATTTTGAGCAAGCAGTGATTTCCCGATGTTCAACAGGTTCTCGACCTCGTTCCGCTGAACTATGCACATTCCCCGGTAACAGATTGGTGCTCTGAGCAAATGAGGTGCTAAGCATGTACAGCTGCGCTTTATCTCATAAGCTGATGCAAGACTGCCCGCTGCTTCACATCGAATATTTCATTGTTTCACATTATTTACAAAATGTTTGCAAGTCCGATAAAATTCCTCAATCTCAAAATAGAGCCTAAATACAGATACACGTGAAGAACTTAAATGTGAAGAAGTTACATATAAACTATGAAGAACTTACTGAAACATGCATGAGAGGGATGTTTCAGTAGCGTACCTTCTAAGACGGTCTTGTAAAAATTTTGGCGGGTAAATTATTATCTCGGGAACCAAAAAAACTACGAAGCTAAAATTCCAGGGTAATAACCCCTTGTCTACGTACGACCTTGCAAACTCAAATTCGCGTTCTCGATCTCTCGGGTATCATCTACGGCTCTATGATGGGGTTCTATCCTAGCGGTAAATACCAGAATTGTGAAAAATCGCCAAATGAACAAAAGGGAGGCAAATGCGTAAATCTACTCCAAAAACGTAACAAAAATTAGTCCACAGAGTTGAGCTACTTTTTTTTATAGTAAAATAAATAGATTAAAAACGCTAAGAATTTACAGCATTTTGCCAAAGGTAGGCTGTTTCGGCAGGGGTAATCAGATGATCAAAGAACGCCATTTTCAACAGGGTGCGATTTCAGAACAGCCGTGCACTTTTCTTCTTACTGTCAGAAGTTGGGCACAACACGGGGCTGTGTAAACACTAATTTTGGCGATGAATTCCCCTGTAGGATCGGGTGGGGAAGGCAAGCGAAATCTTTTGTGAGTGGTGTGTATGTATGTGTGTGTATGTGTGTGTGTGTGTATGTGCCATTTTCACCAATGGATGGAGCTGTACACCGAGATCCCGGAAGAAGTCGAAATGTGAAATTGTAACCACTACGTCAGGCTGTTGATGAGTCAGTTTCAGGGCATTCATGTCATTGAGCCAAACTGTCCACCGCAAAAAAGCCCATATTTTAAACGATACACAGAAACTCAGTGACTCTGATCAGAATAAAAAATGAAGTAAATAAACCAAAAAACAAAAAAAAAACACAAAAACAAGTGCTAATCCATAAACATTTTTCATGTTATTTGATTCGCCGTTGCTTAATCAAACGCATTGATGCAGGATTTGCTGAACCACTGGCCGGTCGTTTTCGGCTGCCTGAAAAAGTACGCTGGAAAACTGGAACTAGAACTGTGGGGTTAAGAGGAATTGACCATCTAAAAGTGCAAATAAATACTTGAAAAATTTTTCATATCACCTTCCCTTCAACAATTTTTTCGCCACTTCAGACCGGAATATAATACTAATTTTCAGCATTTTGCTGCTAACAGGTGAAATAATCAAGAAGTGAAATAACAAGTAAAATCAAGAAACCGGGTAAATCAGGTGAAAAAACAGAAAAATCAGGTAAAAAATCAGGCAAAATCAAGAAATTAGCCAACAGGTAAAATAATAAAAAAACAGGTAAACAGGTAAAAAAAAAGAGTAAAATCGAGAAGAAATAAATCAGACATACCTGCGTTTGGATCCCCGTCGTGGCCGCTAGCCATTTCTTCCACATCTTAATGAAAATTCAATGGCAATACAATCTAGCTTAGTGACAATACAGCCTAGCTCAATGATTCTTAATGAATTCGTTTTGAACACAATCGGCGGCTCCACTGCTCTATATATCGTTAATAGAGACATTTTAAGTAAAATAGTAACATTGATATAATAAGATTTTTACGAACCTGTCAAAAGGGTAGCTGGATTTTCCTCGGGATTTTCGATTTCGGGCGATATCGGCAAAAACCACAATGGGCCCCTTTTGCATGTCAAATCAGTAACGTACAAACTGTAATCATCTTCTTCATCTGAACTGCAGTACACAGCGCTCGGCTTTAGCGTTACAACATCCACAAGTTCGTCATCATCCTCCTGTAAATTAACAATTGCTTGGAAGTGCAAAATGAGCTGTTGTTGTCAAATGGGAACAGTTTTTATTAAAAAATTAAAAAAAAACACTTTCAGTTCAACAAATTAAAATTGCTTTAGAGTCGTCAAGTTCCTAAAGAGGAACTTTGAACTATACCGGCTATTTAAATAGGCCCTGAATTGAACAAAATCTGAGTTGAGCTGATGGTATAAATCAAAACCAAAAGTAAAAAAAGAGAAGAAATCCGAGAAATTAGGCAGATGCGCCAACCTTAGATGTTTGCGGAGTTGGTTCATCAGCATCTTCGTCTTCCAAATCAAATT